TTTAGGGTTTGGGTTTCTGGGTTTAGGGGTGTAAAATGTGCATTTTATGCGCTTTTTTGAGTTTGATGCGATTGCATCAGGACTTGGGGTAAAACTCTCTCTGAATCTTAGAGCACCCTAAAAGCCCTATAAGAAATAAAACCATGAAACTCTTAAACCCGCTTGCAGCCCTCTCTGTATCGACCCCTTAGAAAATCCTAGGCAGGGCCTTCTGAAACTCCTCAACATCAGGTTCCCCTCCTTACCTGCGCTGGCCCCGGCAGTGTGGACGTCATGGTGGGGCACTTGCTGGGCGGCCTCACAATCGAGGAGAACTCGTTACATACACACACACACACCACATACACACACTCAGCAAAAATTGCCCCAAACCCTAAACCGAAACCCCAAACCCCAAGCATTAAACCCTAAAGCCCTCAACCCTCAACAAAAGAGGCCAAAAAGCCCAACCCCCCGAAACCCCAAACCCTAAACATTAAACCCTAAAACCTGAACTCAAAAAAAGAGGCCAAAAAGCCCAACCCCAAAAATTGCCCCAAACCATAACCCCTAAACCCCCAAAAAAGAAAAGAGGCCACAGCCCAACCCCCTGTTTTCTGTTGGGTTTTGAAGGCTCCAATACCCATTAATTAAGGAAGGAAGATACCTTCAATTATAGTAGGAACCCTAATATGATTTAAGGTAAGTTCCTTAATTAAGAAACCCCTAATCCCTAAACCCTAAATCCCCAACCCCCCCCCTTTTTGTGTTGGGTTTGAAGGAAGCCGTGGAGCCGGCGAAGCGCTTCCAGCCTTTTCGGGAGGCCAGGGTTCCTGAAAGGCTTCCTTAAAGGCTTCCTTAAAGGCTTCCTTAAAGGGTTCCTTAAAGGGTTCCTTAAAGGGTTGGTTAAAGGGTTCCTTAAAGGGTTGGTTAAAGGCTTCCTTAAGGAAACCGTACGGTTCATGATTTAAGGGTTCCTTAAAGGCTTCCTTAAAGGCTTCCTTAAAGGGTTCCTTAAAGAAACCGTACGGTTCGTGATTTAGGGGGGTTTAGGGATTTTTAGGGTTTAGGGGTTTAGGGTTTAGGGGTTTAGGGTTTAGGGAGGCCAGAAGTCCCAGAGAGCCCAACACCCCTTAATCAAGTAATACACCTTAAGTAATAGGGTTCCTTAAAGGGATCTATAAGGGTCTCTATAAAGGGAATTGAGGAATATATACCTTAAATGATAGGGGCCTTAATATTATGATCTAAGGTATATTCCTTAATTAAGGGGTATTTGGGCTCTGGGAACCGTAGTATCGGGGCCATATTATAAGGTTTAAGGGTTTAGGGTTTAGGGGTTCAGGGTTTAAGGGTTTAGAGTATAAGGGTTTAAGGGTTTAGGGTTTAGGGTTTACTGCTAGACGGGCCTTTGCGCGGATTTGGGATCGTGATATAGCGGCTCTACAATGTGGGTTGAGTACTATAGGGA